TTTAGTATTATTGGCCACAGTTCCGTCTAAATTTATTTAATTTTTGTATTTGTTGAATTGTCCCATGGTGAATTGTCCCCTGGCAAGTTGGCTGTAGTGAATGGTCCTATTTCGATGCTTTTCAGTTGTTCATAAACAGCTAAAGGACAGAGCGCAGAAGGGAGGAAAAAACAGTTCTTCAGAGTTAGAACAAAGTCAGCATTTCTTCAGTTTAAAAGGCCAATCTTTTGGGAGTATAATTACAAAAACAATGACATATTTACATTTTAATTTTCTTATATTAGAACCCTAATAAAATGCTATTGCTATTAGAAACCTTATAAGATTGTTTAACCAATAAGGAGATACAGTATCAAGAATAAAAGAAAAGCATGTTCACTGATTTAGCTTTGCATATATTACATCTCCAGTGTAAGATCAACTTTTCCACTGAGTCCAATAAACCCAAAGAAGAATATTTATTTGTTTGTTTGCTTGCTTGCTTATTTGTTTATATACTCATTCATTCATTTTACATACTTCTTAACCATCTTTCAGAGAGTGGTTCTGGGTGATGTACAATTTTACCTGTTGCTCTTGTTTTATGTTTGTAATTACTATTCTTAATAAATGATCAATGATCATAGATCAAGTTTCAATGATCAATTAATAAAAAGGTGGTAGTACTGTTCTATAATCAAAGATGTGGCTGAGAACCTAACCAAAATAATTAGGCCCATAGATTACTACCCTCTCCTACTCCTTCACATTAGGACGAATGACACAACAAAGAACCTGAGCCCAATACTGAGAGACTATAAGCAACTAGGCAATAAAGTTAAGGAGCTAGGAGCACAAGTAGTGTTCTCATCAGTATTTCCAACAAAAGGCAGCACCCATTGAGGGAAAAAAGAATTTTGAAATAAACCACTGGCTAAAGGGTTGGTGTTGCCAAGAAAACTTTGGTTTCCTGGACCATGGACTGCATTTCCTATGCAAAGAACTCTTGGCAAGAGATGGGCTGCACCTCACGTAAACAGGGGAAAATGTACTCGGAAAAAGACTGGCCCAACTCATTGGAAGGGCTTTAAACTAAAATTGAGGGGGAAGGGTGACCAATCATTAGAATCTCTAGAACAGGGCTTTTCAACATTGGCACATGGCAGGTGATACTTGGCCCTGCCCAGTCCAGCCAAGTGTAGTGGGGGAGGGAATGAGCCAAAGCGGTGCAGAACAGGACTTGCCCTGAGAGAGTCCTCGGGAGCTGCAGGGCTGCTGGATGAGACAAAAGCCCCGGGATCAGCACTTCTGGCACACCCAGAAGAGAAAGGAAGAAGGGGGACGAAGACAGAAGGGAATATAAAAGGAGGCAGTTTTGGCAGAGAGGGAGAAAAAAAAAGACTCCAGAGAAAGAGGCAGAAGAGAAAAGGCTTTTCTCACAGAAGTGATGAGAGAGAGAGAGAGACAGAGACAGAGAGACAGAGAGAGAAAAGGATTTTGGAGGAATGTGTCTGTGAGAATGGGAAGAATTTGGAGGAACATGTGTGTGTGAATGGAGAGGATATTGGAGGGATGTTTGTATGGGAATGGGAAGCGCCAGGTGAGTGCACTTCACAGGATGAAGTGGGTGGACGTATGCTGGCAGATCCTTTGGCATCGGGAAGGCTCCGAAGGAGGTAGCTGGGGGGGGGGAAGCAGAAGGTCTTTCAGCAGGTGCTGCCAGGCCTGCAAATGCAGCACTGCCCCTCTGCTTTCCAACCCCAAAATTCTGGAGTAAAGTTGGGCAGCCTTTGAGCACCCCGGACAAGTTGTAAATCTGCTGTAGTGTCGGCTGATGTCCCATGTCCCATGAGGCTGGAGCGTTCAGCCTTTAGTCAGGGTTGCCGGCAGGATGAAGCAGACAGAGGTACTTCTAAGTCCTGCCCCAGCTATGGCGAGGAGCAGCAACTGTGTCTGTGCCCAGAGAGCAGGGAGAAGGAAACGGAGGGACTGGGCTGCCTTCTGGCCCACTGGATTCAGGTTTTTCCTTTGATTGGGGGCGTATGGCCTGACTCTCGCCGAAATGCAAATCCCTCTCTAAGCAGAGATTGGGAGGCTGAAAGCCTCTGTCTTTGTGGCCATGCAATTCTAAAATCAATGGGCTGCTGCTAGGGAGGAGAATCAAAATAGGGCAAAACAAGCATCGTCCACCATAGTTTTTGATTGCAAAGTTTTCCTCGGGTTTTCTTATCCCTTCCTGGGCTATTAAAATCACATTGGCAAGGTCTGTACTGAACACTTGGCTGCAAACTACTCAACCAGATTTTAGCCTAGCCCTTTGTGCAGTCCCAGGCCACATTCTGGAGGTCAGAGGATGTAGTAACAGGAGAGAGCTGCAAAACTGATTCATTATTTATTTTCGCCTTTAGCAACAATAACTACATTCCTTGACAACTTTGCTAGCAACCTGCAGGCTGTGAACTTTCCTTTCCCACTTGGGGAAAGAATTCAGGAGTGCTAGATTTATTTTTCCTACTAATTACAGTACACTTTGTGAGTTTTTTAAGGAGCTTATGAGAAAAAGATGTGTCTGAAAATTAAAAGATGTATGGATTGAGTTGTGAGACAGGGAAGTTAAGTACATGGACTTATGCATTTCCAGTTTTGTGCCACTAATATTCTGACTGGACACCTGCATGCTCTCAAGGCCCAAAGATTGTTTTCATTTTTCCCAGGACGGTATTGTGGATTAACTAAATTTTTCTGAGTTCTGATTTTAAGGTGAGTATCCCAAGCCATGCAGGCCTTTGATCTTCTTAAATACATAATAATAAAATAATGAGAACTAAAGGCTCAAAGGGAAGGCAGATTAGAAAGAACGAGACCTTTTGGGGTCTTCAATTCCCTTCCTGTTAAGAGTTCCTTAATAAGGTTTGCTCTTTCTTCCTAACATTAATAAAGGTGGTTTTTCCAGAAAATATGTGAAGAGCTGTAATTGATGATTTAACTATGTTTTCTTTTTGGCTGTGTTTTAATTTATATATAATGTATGTTTAGTCAAGGAGGGCTTGGAGAGGTAGAAATGGCCAATATGGAGGCTGAACCTTGCCTTCCAGATCTCTATCTCTCCTGCAGATCTCTGGAGAGGCGGAGAGGGTGGCAGGGGAACTGTGTGAAGGAAGGCTGCCCCAATGAAACAAGCCAGCATCCTTACCACACACGATTGGAAATGAGAATTTCCTTTCGAGAAGGGACAGCCTCCCTTGTGCAGGACCCAGGAGCGCTGCTCCCCTGCTGTCTCCTCTTGCTCTCCAGAGATCTGTCAAGACAGAAGTTGGACTCGGAGGAAACTGCTTCCTGTAAATGTCCTCCACCTCTTGCTTTGCCGGGAGGGGACACCAGATGATATCTGGGATTGGGAAAAGAACATCTCTTTAGTATGCTACACACACACACACACACACACACACACACACATTCCATGCTTGGAGACTTATATCCATACCTGAGTTAGCAAATTGCCAATCATGCCTGGGCTTTGGGAGAAGGCCCTCTCCTTCCTCTGTGGATAAAAGTCCGCAAACCTGGAATGTGGTGTGTATGCACATGTGTTTGTACATGCACATGCACTTGGCTGTTAGCAATTTGGGAAGGCAAGGAGTTTGTGGGGCACCGAGTTGTACCCACATTGAGTTAGCCAGTGCAACTTGTTCTGTTCGGACCCAGATGTCTCGAGTCAGCTGTGTCCAGTGACACAGCTGTGTTCCATCGAGCAGGCCATGCCCATCTGCTAGGCAACTGGCGGTACTCAAATATTGCTATCTGCAAAGTCTCACTATAATAAAGAAGACAAAAAAGATGCTTTATCATCCAGGACTTTAAAACAAACTTGAGGATAAAAAAGAACAACTAATAAAATGGATTAAAGAACTGTCAGAAGAATCATTAAACCGTGGGAGACAAAAAACTGATACTTTACTTGATTTGTCTTTTTTGTCCCCAACAACACTGACAAAAATACAATCTGGCAAGCCAAACTTACTGATTTGAAAAGCAACCGGGCAAAAGAAGAAGATTAGAGTTGGAGTTAAGAGATGTGATTCAACTTATCAGATGGAATATTATATGGCTAAACACTTGTTTGAATACGGTTTACATATAGATTATTAGATGGTGTATTATAGGATTAAATATTGTTGGAATATGGCCAAAAGAATAGATAAAGCCTGTAAAGGGGCCCTATAGTAAGAATAAGATATATTAGTAGCATAGTGCTTTTAGAATATATGAAATGCTAAAACATTGAGAGGGTCTGTTTAAATGAAAAGGTTGGATATTTAAAGGTAATGAATTTTGACAAAGTTATGACTGATAAGAATTGTCTGAATACCAAGGGGAAACTAAGCTTCAATAAGAATCTTGAAAACAGGACATATAATGACTTAATAAGATGACTTTTATAAATACAATGGAAACACAAGCTGATTAAAAAACATGTTATATGATGATGTTATTATTATATGCATAAATACTAAATATGTTTATATTCAACTTGGTATATGCTGAAAATATTAAGAATTATATTTGTCTAATGTAGACAAAAGGAGAATGTTACTGGAAGAAGAGAGGATCAAGAAATATATTACCGACCAACATATTGATTAATTGTAGAAATTATCATTGATTGTTTTAAATATATGAATCCAGACAACACACTGTTCACGAAGCACTAAAGATTATTATTGTAAAAAATTAATAAAATATATTTTTAAAAAATAATTACTTCAGCTGCATTTCAACTTCTCAAATGTAGAATAAAAGTTTCAAGGAAACGTATTAATTCAGCATCTAATAATTGGAGCTTCCAGGTGAGAAACTAAAAGTTAACATGCAGCCACCATTTCTAGAAAGCATTTGTCTAAGATTAGAACTACTTAGGGAATACCAAGGTTTCCCAGTGGAAAATATTCTCTTTCAGAGACAGCTGGAGCTGGAATATATCTGGATTTCTACCCACAGACAAAGAATTTCCTAACTCATTTCACATAGAAGCAATCCACCCACAACCAGAAAAGAAGGAATGTGTTAAACTATTGTAGATGTGGTTGAGTTCAGAGTGACTTGGTAAGTTGAGGATGTTTGGGCTCTTTTAGGCTTATCAGGATAGTGTAAGAATCTCAAAATTGTTCTGTATTAAAGATGGAGTAGTTATTCTTTATATATATAATTCCAAGTCTTTCTTCTAAGGACTTATTTTGGATCACAAATGCTAGCTTTCTATCGCTTATGGCATTCAATTTGATTGTTCTTCAATAATAATCATGAATAAACCATATTTTAATATATCATCAGAATACTGACATACCCAGTTTTATCTTCTTAGAATCTAATTTTTAATCCTCTTTCCAAGATCTTATTTCAGATCGCAAGAATGGATCCTTATGTAGGTGAAATATTTAGAGAACGTGTAATATTGAGTCCTGTATTTCTTTTATTTTCACAGTGTTAATGGGAAATAGCACATGGGTGACAGAATTCATACTCACTGGGTTGACAGAGGACCCACACCTGCAGCTGATCCTTTTTGTGATATTTTTTGCTATTTATGCCATTACCTTGATGGGAAATGTGGGCATGATTGTCTTAATCAGAACCAGTCCTCAACTCCACACACCAATGTACTTTTTCCTTACCAGCTTATCTTTCCTGGATACCTGCTATTCAACAACGGTCACCCCAAAGTTCCTATCCAATCTTTTAAAAGAGAAGAAGTCAATTTCCTTTGCAAGTTGTTTTACTCAGCTTTACTTTTATGCCATATTTGCCACCACAGAGAGCTACCTCCTAGCTGTGATGGCCTATGATCGCTATGTGGCAATCTGCAGTCCACTACTCTATTTGATGATAATGTCCCAAAGAAAGTGTGTTCAGCTGATAGCAGTTGCCTATATTGCTGGGATCATTAATGCTTCTATACACATAATCGCTATGTCTAAACTATCATTCTGTGGCCCTAACTTCATTAAGAATTTTTATTGTGAGGGTCCTCCCCTTTTTGCTCTTTCCTGCTCAGATATCAGTCTTAATTATCTGTTGGTTTTTATACTCGTTGGCTTCAATTTAATAATAACAAGCTTGACTGTTCTCACCTCCTACACTTATATCCTAGTCACCATTTTAAAGATCCACTCTGCCACAAGCCGTAAGAAAGCCTTCTCTACTTGTACATCTCACCTCATGGTCATCACCATTTTCTACGGATGTCTCAGCTTTATGTATGTACGGCCAAGTTCTAGACAGAATTATAATCTAGACCAAATGGCCTCAGTGTTCTATGTAGTGGTGACTCCCATGCTCAACCCATTAATCTACAGCATGAGGAACCAGGAGGTAAGGCGTGCTTTCAGAAATATCCTAGAAAAGAAATTTCATATTAAACACTTTTAAGAGTCATTGTTTTGGGGCAAAATTTAGTTTTACATAAAGCTGTTCTATTAGCAAATGGTTTTTTCATTAAATAATATTCCACTATGCCATTCAGCTTCCTTAGGGCTCTGATAGTAACTATATATTTACTTTTGAGTTCAAAAAATGAAATTTGAAATCTAAAGAAAACGTATCCTACTTCGGATTGGCTATCATGTCTGATTTATTATTATCAATTAGAAAGAAATAACAGACTCTGCTCTTTGCTGTTTACAAGGCAAGAAACAGAGCACAGACAGGAGGAAAAAGAACAGAGATAATAAGTTCTTCAAGTTAGAACAAAGCTGCCATTTATATCTGGCTTAATCCAGGCTGATCTTCCCTTTTCAGTGTTCATAGCTGGATAGCGGTCATTCAAGCATATCAGACACACCTATTGCTCTTTGTACCTCAGTACCACAGCAAAAGCCAGTTGGAGCCAAATGTACTCCTATTTGGTAAGGACAAATATTAGATGGTACATATGTTATTTCAGCTTGTTTTAACAAGCTTCCTGAAATCTACTTTTAAAGGAGAAGTTATCCATTCCAAGGGGAAATAATCTGTAAACTCAGATCAAAATATGCTGTGATAAACTGTGGCACTGGGAATTTATGAATATGTTTATAAGTCACTGACCATGGGAAGATGTGAAAATTAGAAGGGAAATCAAATCTTTATGCCTTTTGTGTAGGCAACATCTGCTTCCAAAAGAACCTGTGTTGAATTAAGATCAGCAGCAACAAAGCAAGACAACACAAAGGAGTCCCATTTCATTAAGTTAAGTATGACAAAAATTAGGGATTCCAAACTGATGAAGGCATTTAGCAAATCCTTGTGGACAAGGGGAGGGAAGAGAAAGACTGTCTCTTATCCTGCCTGTTCACAGTAGAATATACTCTTCTAGAAGGAAGGATGTGTAGGTTTTTGGGTTTTTTTATAATTTTGATATAGTACTAGAAAAGGAAATATACTGTATATATGTTGATTCAAATATAATTAAACCAATATAAAAGAATCTTTTAAAACAACAAAAAATAAAAAGGCATCCTCCAAAAGTAAGTTAAATATAAACAGTGGTGGGATTCAGCCAGTTCGCACCAGTTCGGCAGAACCAGTAGCTAATTTTTTGTTGCCCAGACTCAGAATGGACTTCCGGAAGTGGCATCCACACAGAGAACCGATTGTTCACATATTTGAATCCATCACTGAATACAAGCCAATATTATTCAGCACTTGTGATATCTATAATAAATTGCTATAATATAATTTTTAAACAAGTTGAACCTGACTCAGAATTGTATTTTTTAGGCTTTATGTCAATAGACAGCCAGTTCAAAGATTGAGAGTTGACACATTTAATCAAGCCAAACTGTAGTCTCTTTCACAGAAGTAATTTCCAGGAACACATAATGCTCTTTGAGTAGCAGTCCAACTTTAATATAAATTCAGAATCTTTCATGAATAGGCAAGTTCAATTTTTTTTCAAGTATAATTACAAAATCAATACATTTTAATTTTCTTCCAAGAATCTGGTACTTCCAAGAATCTAGTTAACACTGTTTAACCAATACAAAACTTAGACCATGTAATACATTTACATTATATTTCCAATGTAAGATCAACAAAGGTTTTCTTAAATATCTGTTGAGTACAATGAACCCAAAGAAGAATTTTAATGTATTGACCTTGTTTTAAATTCATAAATACTATTCTTAATAAGTACAGTTGATATTTCTTAAAAGTTGAGATCAATTATTTTATAATATAGGAAAATCTAGTTCTCTGTTCCAATTATTTTTATATTGTTAATATTTATTTTTTTATTGTGGGTGAAATGGAATTGCTGTTTTAGCTTCTAAAAAAATCTTAATCTGTGGCATTCAAATCCATAGAAGTTTCCAAGCAGTTCATCCTAAACTTCACATCATATGAGTAGGACAAATACTTTGGTGGTATATATTGCTATTTAGATATAGTTTTTTGGAATCTTTCAAAAGTCTTGAAAGTTTGATGAGAATCCATTTTTATAATATGTTCCACAAATCTAATTTGTATTGTATCAAGGGCTTTTCCTATATCTAATAAGGCCACAATGTCCATTATATATTTTTCAGAATGTACTATTTAATCGATCTACCAATTATTTGATATTATCAGAAGCTTCAGAAAGCCAGCATTTAAAGGATAAATTATTGGTAGTAATACCTTCAACAATATTTGTGTCATAGTTGCAATCAAAATTATTTTATCTATGATCCTGGGCAATCCATTTCTGTTGTCAAACTAGCTATAACACAAACCTTATGTAATAAATCAGTCCCAATAAAAAGTAGCCATACATTTATTAATTACAGAGGTTGCAAATTTCAGTTCAGATTCCAATTCAGTGGAATGTTTTGAGTTACTCTATAAAAATATCACGAACTACAAGATACAAGGATCTGTAGGAACAGATGCGTTCATATTTTTTTGTATTTTGCAAAATTCTGTTCTTACACTCAGAAGTTTCAAATGGCAGTGGTCCATTAAAAAAGAATAAAATAGATTAATATCAGAATGGAGAAGAATAGTATTACTGTTTCAGGTTTTATTATACTCTGTCAACACTCAGGAGATCAGAATCTACACTAGTGTAAGAATGCATCAGAGTCCAGTGGGAGTCGGGCACATATAATTTACAGTAGTAGTAGTAGTAGTAGTAGTAGTAGTAGTAGTAGTAGTAGTAGTAGTAGAAGTAGTAGTAATTACTATTATTAATGATATATAATAATTATTATTATCATTACATCATTTTGCATTGAATTTCCTTGGGTATAAAACCATTGCATGTGACAGTAACATCCTAGCATTCAAAGGGTACTTCCTAATTCATGATCCCCAACATTATCTCTTCCTGTTGTTTTGTTTTGAAAAATATAACATAAAATAAAATACAGAAGTAACAATAAAATGGGAGAGTAACTCATGGAGTACCTATCATTCAAAATAATATTTTATTAGTAAGTGTGATTGTATAATAAAAGCCTAATTTGTACTAACTCAAGAATTTATGGGTCAATTAATTCAGCAATCTGCTGGAAAGGTACTGTGATTTAAAAGATGTGGAAGTAACTAATTTGTCATGGTTCATTATTATAAAATATATAGTAACTATAACTCAGCTCAAATATTTCATTGTTTGTTTATTTGCATTATTCAGTTTGATTGCATGGGATTTAAAAACCTTACAAAAATACTTTTTATCCAAGAATATCTTTCTGGACCTGATTCTGCATTAATTGTGTCTTACCTTCCTCATAGCACATCAGCATACTTTTTCCTTATTTTCTTGAACAATTACTCTGCTGACACAGTAGTGTTCCCAAATTGTCATTTGAAAGAATAAGTAATTCCTTTCGTTAGCAGTCTTATTCAGAGTTATTTTTTTATGGTCCATTGATTACAACAAAGGCTGTCCGCTCCTTAGGATGGCCAGTGACTGATGGTCATAGTGATGGGTAATCCAGTACTCTATTTAGGCTAGGAATCATAGCAATAGCAATAACATTTAATCTTATATGCCACTCCTTTCTAATTTACTGACCTCAGAAGAATGGAAGACTGAGTCAACCTTGAGTTGGTCAGGATCTGACTGCTGGTAGTTGGCAGAATTAGCCTGCAATACTGCATTCTCACCATTGCGCCACCATAGCTCCTAATGTCATGACTCATGAAAAAATGGAGCTTATCATTCATGTTAATGGTTTCACCAGTAGACTGTTTTTGGGATATTTTCAGTGGTGAGATTCAGCCTGTTCATGCCACTTCGGCAGAACTGGTAGCTATTTTTTTGTTGCTCAGGCCCAGAATGGACTTTCAGAAGTGGCATTCACATAGAGAACCAGTTGTTCACATATTTGAATCCCACCATTGGATATTTTCTCAATACTTGTAAAAATGACCATCTGATATAAAGTTGCAACTGAGTGCAGAAGATAAAACTCCATGTCAGCTGGAGGGCAATGGCATTCTGATGGAAGAAAATTAGGAACTGGCCAAACCATTGATATCATCATACAATGAGGCCAATGACATTCTGCACCATACTATTTTTTTGATTATCTGCCAGTCAATATGGCACATAAAATGGAAAATAGAAGAAAAAAAACAGGGTTGTAAGAAAAGCACCAATATCAGAATAGTCAAATCTTGTTAGAAAGTGTAAAATGTATAGTAACACCCTGGAGTCATCACAATAAAAAAAAAAAAAAACCTGTGTGGGCACCCCACCTCAGTATTTCTGGAATACAACTGAAGCCTGGCTTTGAGTGGGCAGATATACAGGGGTATGTAAATGAGCAGGACCTTTAGATCACTAAATGAACAACTGAAGTTTTAAATCTGCACTTGCTTCTATTTATATATTTGGTTATTTAATTGAGTTGCTTATTTACCATCTAAGAACAAATCACAGAATTTTAAAAATACAGACCATGTTAATATAGTACATGCATAACTAACAGTACATACTGTATGTACAGTATATTAAAAAGAAGAAACCTTATAAAATTAAGACTTTTTGAAGAAACCAATCATTTTCATCTGAGGTGAGCCGAGGTGGCGCAGCAGTTAGAGTGCAGTACTGCAGGCCACTTTAGCTGACTGTGTTCAGCAGGTCAGCGGTTCAAATCTCACCGGCTCAAGGTTGACTAAGCCTTCCATCCTTCCGGGGTAGGTAAAATGAGGACCCAGATTGTTGGGCACAATGTAAATATATATACATTGCTTACTGGTATACACCGCTTAGAGAGTGCTTGCACTTAAAGCGATATATAAGTCTCATAAATAAATAAATAAATTTGCTTACTCCCTGGGAAAGGGCCCGTAAATTTAGTTTAGCTCCTTGAAGAAGTGAGAAATCTTATAGAAAGACACACCAAATAGTCATCTGTTCTCCCTTGTCTACTGGCTTCTGCTGCTTTCTTGCATGTGGCCTTTGCTAGTTTAAGCTGTTCCTTTGGCTTCCTTGCCTCTCATGCAGAAAATCTGTGGCATGAGGAACATTGCATTTTTTTGTCTGGTTTTTGATGAATCCATGGCTGGATTACAAAATTTGCATGAAAGAGGGACATATCAATACAGGAATATAGCATATTGTCATAAGCAAATTCAGCAAAGAGATATGATATAAGTCCAGTTGTCTTCCTGGTAAGAAATATAGCACCTTAAATCTTGCTGCAATAGTTGGATAACTTCCCAATTTCTTTATTCATTTCTGGATGGTGCAAAGGGAAATGAATTTTAATATTTAATAAGTACAAGAGGAAGTTTGGAAATTTGGAAATAAACTGACTTCCTCAATTTTGTGATCACATAGTTGACCAATCCACTATATCTTAAGGCATGATCCAGAAAAAAGATGAATTGTTTCTTGGGCTGTTGGAAAATAAAATGAACCAATTTTATAAATCCACTACTATCAATGTGTAATATACCCCCTCACTGGAGGAACATCTGTAATGAAATGTAGAGAAAGAGTATCCCAGGGTTGCAACAGGGTCTTCAATGGTTACAATAACCCAGTTGGATTACCAGGAATTGATTTTGATCTATGACAGAGATGACAAGAGGAAACATAATTCTTAATGCAGATGCAGAGCCACCTAAACTCACATAGGGCTCTATGTTGGGTTCTAAATATCCACCATAACCTGCTATTGGTTGTCATGGCACAGCTATAGTACTTCCTCCACTAGGAGAAGAAGCACATATAAACGTCCATCAGAGACTATTCTTGAATTTACTTCTTTGGTATGAAATTTGCAGAACTGATGTCAGCCTTCCCAGTTAGACCAGCCAGGAAGTTTGACCTCATGAGCTAATTCTACTTCATTATAAGGCTACATTAACAGAATCTTTTAAGTCTGGCAGTATAAATCTCTCACTGTCTTTTTTATAGGCTGCAAAGTAAGCAAGGTTCCTTCTGAATTTCTTTTTTTTTTTTGCCCATTATGCATCTGAGGGCTATGTCCTCTCTTATCTGATCATTCCCTAGGCAGCATTTCTCTCCCCACCATCTCCCATTGACATTCCCACATATTATTACAGTTAAGTGAGTTACAGATTTCAGATTTTATTTATTTAGCTAATTTATACAGCCATTCAAAAAAAGTGTACAATTCAGGCCATGTGCATCTTTAATAACAATAATTCAATAACAGCAATGAAAATTAAAAATAATAAAATATTTTAAAAATATTAAACAACAACCTACAAAGATGTACATCACCAGAAAAGACCATTGAAAGTGTCAGACAGCTTTTACAACCAACACCTAAGAAAAGAAGCATGTTGTCAATGCCTTCAGAAAGGGAGGCAGAATCAGGGCTAGCTAAGCAAATCTCAAGGAGATGCTGTTCCAAAGGGACATCAGAAGATATGGTTCCAGAGAATACCAGGTCACATTGCCTAAGCATAACCCCCTTCAGAAATCGCTAGATGTGGAAGATCCCACAATCCACAGGCACTTGGCCTTACAATGGTCTAGTTTGAACCTCGTTTCTCTTACCTGCAGCCTCTAGACACCAAGACAAAGCTTTCATAATAACACTTAGTGGGCCTGGGTTGAGATGTAGAATTGAGTATCATCAGCATCCTGATGATATCTTACTCCTTGCCAATGCATGACTTCACCCAGTGCTCTCATGTAGATGTCAATCAGAAGTGGGAAAGAACTGAACCTTGAATCACATTACAATGTGATGACCTGTCTCTTTCTCTCCCTCCTCACCCCCAATCATGACTGAAGTGGTGTGGAGGAAGAAGGAATACTACTGCATCACTCCATATCCAACATTGACATCTCTGAGTTGTCATGAGTTACCATGGTTGATAGTACTGAAGGTTGACAAGAGATCAAGGAGGGTGAGGAAGGGTACACCACCTTCATCATGGTCCCACCACAAGTTATCAACAAGCATGACTAATGCTGTTTCTAACTGTGCCCAGGTGTGAAATCTAATTGAAAGGGATCCTGATACTCTGCTTCATCCAGGACCCTTTGGAGCTGCTAGGAACTATCCAACATAGTTAAATCCAATGATGCCTTCTTGAAGAGAGTAAAGACCACTGTCTCCTTAAATGTAGATGTACCTAGTCTCTCTGCAAAGGAGGAATTCACCACCGCTTGGGCTCAGACACATGAGACCTCTGGGGAGGCCTTCACCAACCAGGAGGGACAAGGATCTAACATAAGTGAGCGCACACACAGCTTCAAGGATCCCATCCACTTTCTCACACCAACAAGGTCATATAATCATTTAATAGTCTTTAAAATCGCTTCATTGCTTCGCAAGTTTGTTTAGGTTTTTAATATTTTCTTTGAATGATTCTCTTACTATTTTGAACACAGTTTTGTTAATCTTTTTTCTATTTAAATACTAAAACCCATATTTTTGAAAGACACTCTTTGTCTACATGAGGAAGATCACTATGTGGAAAAAAGTATGAAAAAATATTAGTAGTAATTGGACAGAATATGCTCTATTTAATATTGCATTTTCCACTGGTAAATATTTCAAATAATTGCAATTCGGTTTACTGAATCTTGTGTAATTAAGACAAGTCAGTAGATGGAGCAGTTTGAAGTACTTCAGGGAGACATTCCCAAACCAATGTTTTTCTCAGTAGAGTTCTTTTCTCCATCATTCCAAAGAGGATTGAAGGAAATATTATTGTCTGCAGAATTGTATAAAGCTGTTGAGTTGCTGAAGATTGAAGAAAAATATCTGAATTTCTTCAAAGCAGCAAAAGGATTTTTAGTACAAGTTCTAAAAACCTGTAATCAGAAGCTTGAAAAAAATAGATATTATAAAATGTGAAAGATGCTGTTGAGTTGGAAGAAAACAAGTGAGTCTGATAATCAAAAAGGCAACCATATAACCATACTGTATTTTACTGCTTATGTGAGTTTGCTTTAGGAGTTCATGGGATGACAAGTTATTGTTATTTCAAAGAGCATTGACTGAATTGTCAGAGAAAGGCAAGATTAATCTTGCATGGTAAGTGTACAAACTGATTTCCCAGCTTTAAAAAAAATAACTATCCTATATCAGGAAATTTAAAAGTTCAATGAAGAATAAATCTATAGAAAATAAGGTATTTTGAGATGGAACAAAATCAATGTTTTCTTTATAAAGCAGAATAGGTTTTGTTGTAAAATATGAGGTTTTAGTAATGTAGATCCAGCAATGAACCAACAGAACAATCAATATGCAACAGCTTCTAAAGATAGCCTTTGAAAGGAAATGCAAATCATATTTGCTCTGATACTTCTTTGAGGTCTTCCAAGTTTTAAAGAAGAGTTGCTCTCCTCAAAGGTTTCAGTAGCACTCTCGTGGATGTTAATTTCCATTAATAGTCCTGTGGAGAAATTTATTCATGGGCTGGAACTACTTTAATCAAATGTAGTAAGTTATACCATTGCATCCGAATAACTCTCGCTATTTCATTGCATAACACCTAATTCTCAAAGTATGACAATGTAATTTTAATTTGAAAGAAGTGAAGGTTCTCAGTCATCCAGGTAAAGTTATCTGAAAGTGCATTTTGCTGATCATCCAAGCAGCTTCTTCAGTTGGAGCAAGTTAGTTAGGCAGAAAATCCTCGGAATGAAGCAACTCCTCCCGCACAAACCTCAGGGTTCCCCCTCCCCCCAAAGGGCCTGGCAATATGTTAGTGAAGATTCTCAGTCACCCAAGTGACATATTGCTACATTCCAATGACTCTCTGCCTAACTAATTTGCTCTGACTGATGAAACTGCTTGGATGAGCAGCAAAATATCTCAAACCAACAGAAAATAAGTCCTAGTGCCATGACTCAAAATTCAGATACCTATGCGGACTGAATATTGCTTCTTCTAAACTGAATATTATTTTATTACTGACCTTTTTATTACTGACCTCTTCCGACTTTTGTTTCTTTTTCTAGGAAGTTAAAGATTGACTCTGATCACAGACCAGATTACAAATATTTGAAAAACAAAGGAAAATTAACTGAAGTATTGTTCAGCAGTGTCATTGTGATTACATGGGAAACAGCACACCGGTGACAGAATTCATACTGATGGGGTTAACAGAAGACTCACAATTGCAGCTGATCCTCTTTGGGACATTTTCGGCTGTTTATGCCATCACCCTGGTAGGAAATCTAAGCATGATTATCTTAATCAGGATCAGCCCTTCTCTCCATACACCAATGTACTTTTTTCTTACTGGCTTATCTTTCTTGGATATTTGTTACACCTCATCTGTCACCCCCAAGTTTCTATCCAATCTTTTAAAAGAAAAGAAGTCCATTTCCTATGGAGGTTGTCTCGCTCAGCTTTACTTTTATGCTCTATTTGCCACCACAGAGAGCTACCTCCTAGCTGTGATGGCCTATGATCGCTACGTGGCAATCTGCAGTCCTCTACTCTACTTGATGATAATGTCCCAAAGAAAGTGTGTTCAGCTGATAACAATTTCCTGCATTGCTGGAAGCATTAATTCTTTCATTCACACAATGGCTGCATCTAGACTGTCCTTCTGTGGTCCAAATATCATTAAGACCTTTTATTGTGAGGGTCCTCCCCTTTATGCCCTTTCCTGCTCAGATACCAGTCTCAATTATCTGTTGATATTTATATTTGTTGGTTTCAATTTATTAACAACAAGCCTGACTGTTCTTACCTCCTACACTTACATCCTAGTCACCGTTTTAAAGCTCCATTCTGCCGCAAGCCGTAGGAAAGCTTTCTCCACTTGTACCTCTCACCTCATGGTCATCACCATTTTCTATGGATGTCTTAGTTTTATGTACACTCGACCAAGCTCTAGGCAGAATGATCACCTAGACCAAATGGCCTCAGTGTTCTATGTAGTGGTGACCCCCATGCTCAACCCATTTATCTATAGCATGAGGAACCAGGAGGTAAGAGGTGCCTTCAGAAATATCCTAGGAAAACAATTTCATGTTTAACAGACATGATATTTTAAGAACCATTTATCTTTACCAAAATTCAGGTTTAGACAAGAGCTGCTTTAGTAGAAAATGTTTCTTATGATTGTGCATCATTAAATATGAAACCACTATGCTATAGAATTTTCTTAGTAACTATACATTTACTTTTGAGTTCAAAAAATGAAATTTGATCTTTAAAGAAGAGTTGTCCCATTTTTTTTATAGCTGTCATGCCGTAATGATTGCCATCAATTAAAAGGCTCTGCTTTAAGCTATTTACAAACCAATAGGCAGAGGACATATGGGAGGAAAAAGAACAGAAAGAATACATTCTACAGAGTTAGAACCAAGCCAGCAATTTTTTTGAGGGGGGGGGAGTCTGGTGGTTAATCCAGGCTGATCTTTTTGGAGTATAATTACAAGAACAATGAGACATTTACATTTTAATTTCCTCGTTTTAGAACCATAAGAAGACTGTTTAACCAATAAGGAGTTATCAAGAATAAGAGCAAAGGATGTTTACTGATTTACATATGCATGTATTTCATCCCCAATGTAAGATCAGCAAGGCAAAATTTTAAAATTTCCAGAGTCCAATAAACCCAAGGAAGATATTCTTTTACCTGCTGCTCTTGTTTTATTTTTGTGAATACTATCCTTAATAAATGTAATTAATGTTTTTTAAAAGTTGAGACCAATGATTTTATAGTATAGGAAAATTCAGTTCTCTCTTCCAAATTTCTTTTTTTTTTTAATTGTGGATAAAATAGAATTGTTCAGTCACTGAAAAACTGTTATCTGGGGCATTCAAATCTATAAAAGTTTCTAAGGCAGTTAATATATTTAGTCCAAAGAACAGTATAGTAACAAATGTTAATATCTTGGTGATAGCCTCAGTCTGACTGGAAGAATGACCAGGTTTTCCTAACATATTTATGATAGAGAGTGGGATGAACTGCAATTTTAAGTGATTAAGATTCGGTATGCTGGCAGAAGAAAGTGTAATCATATGAAGGATGGCTTAGAATCCCCATCTCCTCCAATATACTTCCCCATTCTGCTTTTTAATTGCCCATTACTTTTTCCTTGGGTTTTCTTTGTTTTTTTTGTTTGTTTTCAACAATTATTCAACTCTTCCAGGAATCTAAATGAAAAATGGAGTTTATCATTTATGTTAATGGTTTCACCCAGGGGTTGTTGTTGTTGTTGTTAATTGCGAAGTCGTGTCCGACCCATCGCGACCCCATGGACAATGTTCCTCCAGGTCTTCCTGTCCTCTACCATCTTCTGGAGTCCATTTAAGTTCACACCTACTGCTTCAGTGACTCCATCCAGCCATCTCATTCTCTGTCGTCCCCTTCTTCTATTGCCCTCAATCTTTCCCAGCATTAGGCCCTTCTCCAGTGAGTCCTTCCTTCTTTTGTGACTCAAGGACTTCAGGGAGTTGAAGTCCACAAATCATAAAAGAGCCAAGGTTGCCTACCCCTGGTTTCACCAACAGACTACTCTTGGGATATTTTTTCCATACCTTTGAAACATAATGTTGCAACATTTGAAAGACAAGATGAAAGTTCATCTACTACTGAATGTTTGAACTAAAATGACTAAGAGACTGCTTGATGTCAACTTTGCAGTAACAACTACTTCTCATTCTGTTGAAAAATAGACTGCTCTTTGTCTTCGTGTAGTCCCCAAACCACAGACTTTTCAAAATATAGATGAAAATGGCACAAGGAACTTTATGTAATTTAAATAGCAGTGTATCATGGGAAACAATTTAAGTACCCACAAAGATGAAATCAGATGTTTACCAAAACTTGGGTTTTATGTTGAATGTTTATGAATATTTAATAGGTATTTAAAATAGGTGTTCTCAATAATAGATTATTATCCTAGAGATAAAGAAGAAATCATAAAAGATGTATATAATGGCTTTGCTATAATCATTTGGTTTCCAAGAAGAATGAAATAAATAGATGACAGGCAAAGCAAAAAGCTGATGAGAAAAAAATAATTATACTTATTTATAGATATTTCCTTGGTAATATTGCAAAATAACTCTTCCAGTGTGAAAATAATATTATAAATGCATGTATTAAAAGCATTATATGGTCACCCATCTCATACCAAACTCTGGGCAGCTCCCAATCAAGAATTAAAACAATGTAATAATAAAATAACATAAAAATCACATTAAAACTATTAAAACCTTAAACATTAGAAACAAAAATCTGAGACAAAGTTAAAAATTCTGACAGGTGGTCACCTCATTGTTATCTCAACACATGGGGGGGGGGGGAAATCAGGTCTTCAGTGCTTTCAGAAGGCTGGGGGGAACAGTGTGGTATAGGGCAAGGGCTGCCACAGAAAGGCACTCTTCTGAGCTCCCTTAAGGTGGCAATGTTTAAGAAAAGGGATGAGGAACTATGTAAGTTGGAAGGACAGCTAGATGTCCTCAAGGAAAGGAGGCCCCATAGATAACTTGGCCTTATGCCATATATTCAGTTTTGCTTAGATTTCACTCCATTGGGACTGGATGAGCTGGGGGGGGGGGGAAGAATACTGAAAGTTGGAGTTTGTCAGTTTAAATTTATTGCTGCAAGAATATTTTGGGCATTTCTGGGGTATTCATGGGTTCATAAGGCATGAAGACACAATCAGCAGGGAATTTCAGAACTAAGTGGGACAAACAGCCTGTCAGTTCAAGGTGACATTTTGCAGAGAAATCTGTGCTTTGAAATGGACAGTAAGTGCTTTGTTCTGTCATATCGTCAAAACATTATAATTTAGCTTTGTTGCACTTCCCTTGGCAATTATTAGAATAAATGTTATGTACAGTATTGTGCCTGGGATCTGAACTACTTAGGGAATACCAAGGATTTCTTCTGTAGAATTAAGTCCTCCTGCATAGTCCCAAAGGGGGAAAATTGCTTACCATATTAATAAGAACATATAATATTAGCTGAAGTTGAAATATATCTGAATTGCTTCCTGATGCTCAAAGAATGTGGCAGTTGGTTTCACATGGAAGTTATTCATCCACCCCCAAAAGTAAACTGCAGGAAGAATATGCTTTAAAACTGTGGAAGATGTAGATGAGCTTAGTATACCGTAGTTTGGTAAGTAAATTCTGTATTTATGCATATTATTCTAATAATAGCTGTGGACAAACAATTATGCCAGATCTTGTGTTCTGCAATAAATGGGATGCTGTTTTCTTTGGGTCCCTTAATTTAGATCACATGGATTCATCCCTTTCACTGCCTACCATGTAGTACTTTATATCTTGCTGTGTCTTCCACTAATAATAATGAAGGAATGATAATAGATTGGAAGAATATTGATATTTCATGATATGAGTTAAGACTTCCCTCTGGGTCCCTTAATTTGGATCATTTTGTTGTTTGTATGTATATTGAGAGTTTATGCACCGGAGACAAATTCCTTGTGTGTCCAATCACACTTAGCCAATAAAGAATATTCCAATTCCAATAATCCAATATTCAGACACAGGACCATGGCATTGTGTACGTAGGATTCAGTGCTTTTTTTTAAGTGTTGTCACTTGATGTGTACTCAAAATGTTTAAGACAACATGTAATATTAATTATTGCATTCTTTCAATTTCCACAGTGTTATTGTGATGGGGAACAACACACGGGTGACAGAATTCATACTCACTGGGTTGACTGATGATCCACAGTTGCAGCTCATCCTCTTTGTGATATTTTTTGCCATTTATGCCATCACCCTGGTGGGAAATATGGGCATGATTGTTTTAATCTGGACTAGTCCTCCACTCCACACACCAATGTACTTTTTCCTCATTAACCTATCATTCTTGGATATCTGCTATTCATCATCTGTCACCCCAAAGTTCCTATCCAATCTTTTAAAAGAGAATAAAGTTATTTCTTTTGCAGGTTGCTTTATTCAGCTTTACTTTTATGGTCTATTTGGCACCACGGAATGCTACCTCCTAGCAGTGATGGCCTATGATCGCTATGTAGCCATCTGCAATCTTCTATTCTACTTCATCAACATGTCCCTCAAAAAACGTGTCCAACTTACAGCCTTTTCTTATATTGCTGGGATTATCAATGCTTTAGTACACACAACTGCTGCATCCTTATTACCCTATTGTGGCTCAAACATCATTAAGAATTTTTATTGTGAAGTTCGCTCTATATTAGAATTTGCCTGTTCAAACATTAGCCTTAATGAACTATTGATGTTTATACTTGTTGGGTTCAATGTAATAACAACTATCCTGACCATTCTTACCTCTTACACTTACATCCTATTCATCATTTTAAAGGACCGCTCTGCCAAGAGTCATCGGAAAGCCCTCTCCACTTGTACATCTCATCTCATGGTCATCACCATTTTCTATGGATGTCTTAGCTTTATGTATGCACGACCAAGCTCTAGACAGTCTCACCATATAGACCAAATAGCTTCCTTATTTTATGTAGTGGTGACCCCCATGCTAAACCCCTTGATTTACAGCCTGAGGAACCAGGAGGTCCGAACTGCCATCAGAAAAGCCCTGCAAAGAAAAGCTGTGTCCCTTTATTTTTAAATGAGATTATTAACAAAGAACATTTACATGAAATATTGTTGTCTTTCAAGAACTACATACAGGAAAAGAATACATTTATATAGGTGTATATTTTCTTATAATACAATAGTCTGCATGTCTACTGAGAAAAAACTTCCATGAGTTCATTTTGACTTATTCTCGGTTATGTGCATATAGAATTCTAACTTGAATTCATTCCAGTTGGAAATATTTACACATTAAAATTATATTGACAAGTTAGTTTTCAAAAGCAATGCATATGAATTAATTAACTATTTTCTGTTTATTACTTCTTTTCTATTATATGTCCATAGTTTTATTTCTTCAAGTTTAGGTAGCAGAGAGCTATAATTTTACCTTATGGTTCCATAAGTTTCAAAATTATGTGTTCTTTTTTTTGTTAGTATCATTACCAAATGCTGCGACAATGGATTTAAAGGATGTGATGTGCCATCTAGGATATTCCATAGCTTGCTATATTCTTCATAATAAAAATATAATTAATTCCAGAGAGCTATCTGAAAAACAGTCCTTTGGTACCACATTTCATTGTCTCAATAAATTATATTAAGCCAATAATTTTAATAACATAGAAGATTCAGGTAAAGTCGTCCACCATCATCTGTGATATAGAAATTGTTTGTTTGCTCTGATTTTTTTTCTGAGATGCTTTTCACCTTCCTAGACTAATTTCTATTTGAGATTTCCTAGTATTCTCCCATTCAAATATCATCATTATCCTTTATATTATTACAAATTAAAAAGTCCATCAAAATATTACCCAACATCTCTTTCTCTTTAAGATTAAAATAATTACTCCTTACTTGTTTAGGAACAGTATTTACAATATTTCTAGCAATCAGTTTAATATGTTTCCATTTAAAGGATGAAATGGAATTAAAATAAGAAATATTTCCCTTCTTCATTCATTGTTCTGTCTCCAACATTTTAGCTGAAAATCTTGCAATTATTTCAGGATAGCCTGATCCAATAGCTTACAAAAGCTAGATAAACTGGTTTCTACAATAGCAGGATTCCTTGCCATTTTTCTCACAGAGCTTTCTGAAGTTGCTGGAAAAGTAATTGTGGGGGAGGTGAGAAGCAAGCTCAGGTGAAAAAAAATGGTCTCCTGGATATCAGAGTTCTTTGTCACATACTGGGGAAGATGATCTAAAGCAGGGCTATTAAACTGCTGGCCCGCGGGCCGGTTGCATCATACAGAGGCTGTGCCCACCCCAGCTCTGGCAATGCGAAAAAAGTTGCGATACGTTGCGACACATCACATGACATGGTGAGTTTGACACCCGTGATTTAAAGGATTGCCTTATCAGAATGTTATATTTGGCAATAAATAGAAAATATTCCAAAGATGGTTTTTCAGGTGGCAACTGGACTTTCTTGTTTTTCTTTGAAGACATTTCGCTTCTCACCCAAGAAGCTTCTTCAGCTCTGACTAGATGGTGGGGAATGGAAGGATTTATATTCCTTGCAGACAGATGGTCATTTGCAATTCTTTTAGAGAGTTGTTGGGATCATCTGGAGGATTATCTGTGTCCTCAAGGTCACCTGACTAGTGCAAATGTGTGTGAACCTTTTGGCTGCAGGATGTTTTGCCCTGTTCCTGTAGTCTACAATGTTTTCTGA